GGGCGGCAGAGGGCCGCCATGGGCCGCAGCGGGCGGGGCGGGCCTGCGAGGTGTGAACATGATGGTTTCCAACCGCTTCGACGCTGCCAGCGTGGGACACGGCACACCATACTATGCACACGGTGACGGTGCAACTGCAGCACCAGTTCACATCCAGGGCCGAGGAGGCGACGCCAATGGGGGGCACTTGAATGCAGCAGCCGCGGCGACCGTGCCGCACCGCTGCCATTTGTGGCCAGTAGTGAATCCTCTCACCCCGAAGGCCCCTCCATGAACGAAGGCCTACTGCAGGTTACCGTATGAGACTGCAGATCTTTTCCACTACGGTACCATAGCCGTATCAGCTACGCGTTATGTAACGCAAAGCCAGACGCCTAAAACAAAGACGATCATTGAAGCCCTGGAGATATATCCTGCAGTCTTCGATGTGCGAAAGCGGGTGATCTCGCGGCATCCAGCCTCGACAAAGCGGGACGAGAGGTGTTTCGGATCTTGGCGGAAGTATTTTCTTCCCGTAAACAGCAGGCCTGCTGCGATTCAGCCGAGGACGGCGGTGGTCAACACGCCCTGGCAGTCAGAACGAGGCAGCGCGAGCAGCAGCGGACCCTGTCTCCCTCTGCCCCCAGCAGCATGGCCGTCAAGTCCGGCCCAAGACTGTGCCCTGTATGGGCAAATGCGGCTGATCAGCAGGCAGAAGCGGCTAAGGCTGCGACAGGTACGTGAGCGCAACGAGCTGCAGGCTGACTTGCACGACCGCATGCGGTGTGAGTCCGGCGCGCTGCTCCATGCGCTGCAACCAACAACCCGCAACAGCACAATTGCTGTGCTAACACTTCACTGACTGATAACCAGGCTCCAGGGGCGATGCATTCGTGTACTTTGTCGGGGCCCGCGGCTCGGGCAAGACGACGCTCCTCAATCGTGTGCTGCAGCCCACAAAGGTGCGGGCAGCAGCAGCGTAGACTCTCGGGGAATTGTGACTGCCGTGATGGTGCCTGATCAGGAGCTTGTGTGTTGCCAACCTCATGGACTCACTTCAGCTCTCTTTGTGCTGCATCTGTGCAGGCGGAGGTGCCACCGCCATCTGGTGTCCTAGAGTACACCTTTGCGCGACGCGGGCCGGCCGGGGGCGGGGATGCAAGTCTTGCTCACTTCTGGGAGCTGGGGGGCCACGAGGGGGCGGCGCTGGCCCTGGCACGGTCAGACGCGCTCTTCCTGACCTTTAAGCAGGTGAGGAGTGGGCCAGAAGCCCTTTGAATTGCGTGTCGATTCACCACCAACAACGTGATTGTGATTTTGCGCTGGTGGCGTGAATGCATGCAGCTCGCCCCGCCCAAATTCCCAAATGTCAACCCCTGTGTCAGGTGATGTCAGCCGTGGTGGTCGTTGTTCTGGACCTGTCCGACCCGGCCTCAGTGCTGCCCGCTGCACGGTTGTGGCTGGGGGCAGTCAGGAGCAAGCTGGCGGCGACTTACACGGTGGGTTTGGGCATGCCATGCGTCCATTTCGGTTGGGTGAAGGGAGTTTCAACCGATCCAGGTGCCTCTCCTTCTTGCTGCTCATGCACTAGGCACTTTGCTGCCCCATGCAGCGCAATTGGTGCCGCGCTTGGGCCCCTGCGGCACCGCTGACCACCGCAGGCGTTTGAACGCAAGGGGCTGCAGCTACCGGAGCAGCTGCGCCAGCGGGCGCGACTGAGGCTTGCCGGAGCCAGCGAGGAGCGGGCCGCAGTTGATGTTACGGGTGAGCATGGGGGAAGGGAGCCCTGCCCTTACAGGGTTTTGGCATGTGGCAGCAGAAACCCTCAGGCCTGGGTACACAACTTCCCTGGGAGGCGCAGATGAACGGCTTGCATATGAGCAGTCTTAGTCCCTTCCATGCTCCAATTTTTTTCAGGCGTGAACATGCAGCGTGTCTGCTGCTCCTTGTGCTGTATGTACATTGCATGTCAGCATTACACGAGAATAGCACACCCCCTTTCCACGAGGACGCCACACATGCACTCACACAAACCACGCATGTGCATTCAGGCATCTCAGTCGTCATGGCTGCCACTAAGTGGGACGTATTCAGGGGCCGTGACGCCGAAGAGCAGCGAGTGCTAGGGCTGGCGCTGCGTAGCCTGGCGCACGCGAACGGGGCACACCTGGCATACCTGGGCGGGCTGCAGCCAGGGGGTGGAGCGGGCGCCGAGGGTAAGCACAATGCGGGTCCCGGTGGGAATGACGATGGGACGCACAGAGCATGTGTGCAGTAGACTGCTGCTGGAATCCAGCACACTTGTGCGTTTCTGTAGACAACATACCATTCATCCTGATCTGTGTCCGCGTACACATCTGTATGTGCCTTTCGTGCAGGCGTGCGGGACAGCCGCATCATGGCAGGTTCGGCTGGTGCCCAGCAGCAGGCGGTGGCGTTGGAGGGCTTTGTCAAGCTGATCAACCACCTGGTGTTTGTGGGGCTTGACAAGAAAATGTGAGCAGCATGAAGCGCCGCAGGCGCCAAATGTTCCTGATTTGCATTGCATTGACTGTGCCTCTGCGTATTTCTGCAGCCTGCAACGGGGTGTGCTCGGGGCTGAGCAGGCCGCCCGCCCCCCCCCCTGCCCTGTTGCTGATTGCGACAGGGCCTTCAACGCGCCGCCCCAGACCGGCCACTTGAGTCCCCTGATGGTCCCGGCAGGCGCAGACAGGCTGCACGACATCGGGCGGCCAGGGGCGAAGGCGGTATCACTGCCAGCTTCTCCCTCTACCTCCGACATGGCGGCGGTTGTTGAGGTGAGGCCTGACTCCTGTGCCAGGCAGTCAATCGGTGTGCAGTGGCAGTCGGGGCCCCATGCCTCAACAACATGTATTGATTACCCTTGCTCACGTCGCGCAGGAGTGGTCTGCTGCAGCAGTGGCGCTGTTCCCCGCGTCACGCCCGCGGGAAGACGCTCCCGCAGCTGCGGCACGGCGCCTTGTTGCTGATGTGCGCTATGGAGAGGACTGCGTTGATGACGCACGGCAGCGCTGGGAGGAGGCGCTCGGGCTCAGCACGCTCAGCGACAGCAACAGTGGCAGAGGGGATCTTGCACCCGGTGGAGACAAGAGGAGCGCGGCTACAGGGGAGCAGCAGGCTATGGGTTTGGGTGGAGCTGTGCGGCAGGCTGAGGCGACTATTGTGCTGCCTGCGGGAGAGCAGGGCGTCCGGGCGACAGCAGCGGCAAAGCCGTCGACGGCCGCAACGGCATTGAACCGGCTGAGGCGCACACCGGGCGCTGTTGGCGGCGGGGCTCCTCCTGCTAATGGCGGGCAGCAGCAGCAGCAGCAGCTTGGACCTCGCTGACGATAATTTTGCGTAACACGTTGGTTAAAAGCAATACATCCTATCAGCCAGCAACCGCCGGCAGCACCCTGGATGCACTTGTATTGACTTGCATGTCCCTCATCTGCAGCACCCGTGCCGCCTCACGCAGCCCCGACTCAAATGCGCCATGGGCGGTGGCTGGCGAGCGGCTGGTGGCCTCCCCTGCAAACAGCAGCCGCCCCACCGGCTCCGCCAAGTCGTCTGTGAGAGGGGCACAAGGATAGACGAGCCAGCATCACCGCTTTGCCAAAGATGGTCGGGCCCATACTGTGTGGTTCCACTGGCAGTGGAACCATCGAATGCCACATGCGTTTCATTATCAGCAGATAAGCAATGACAGCTTTAGGCCTCGCATGAATGGCCGCCTTTGTGATGTAACTGGTCGTGCCTGAGCCAGAGCTCACCCACAATATTGCGAGGGTTGCCCACTGCATAGAAACTGTAGCTACCACGGGCAAAAGGGTCTGCCGCCCAGCGTGTCACAAAGGCCTGCACAGGTGTTGGGACGACCCCACCAGGTGGACCCATGTCCTGCAAGGCCTGTTGGAGGGGCCACATTGACAGGGGGTGAGAAGCGCTCAACACCTCATGAGGTCTTGGATTGCTGTGATCACAGCAACCCGTAGAGCAAGAGTGTGGGGTCATACCTGCTTATGGCTAGCTAGCAGCTGGCTGTCCCCGGGGCTGCAAGCAAGCTTCGATGGTGTCAGCAAGGTGAGGTGCATTGTGCCAGTCAAACCTATCCGGATCGCGTACAGCCAGCACACCTGCAGCGCCTCTGCCACTATGCTGTCATCGCTGAGTGCCTCCAAGTCCGCAGCTGTGGCAGCGACGTTGAGCGCCACCAGTATGGGCTTCTTGAACAGCGCTGCGTAGTTTAGGAACACACACCAACGCCCACTCAAATCCACCAGCTCCCGCGCCACAAAGTCAGCTGTCCCTGGCCACCAGGTCTCGTTGAACACGAGGACCAGCTTGTCCAGGACACCCATGCCCTGAAGGGGGGCACGTCAGTGCGCACTGGCTGAGATGCAGTGGCACCAAAATGGAAGCAAGCCTGGAGCACCCCTGGTCTATGGCTTCACAGGCCTGGGGCTGACGGACAACTAGATACCCAAGCAGAGACCCTCCTTGGCCGCTGGCCTCCGGGCTTCCAAATGCAACCACACACCATGCTCTGGATAGCAGCCATCTTTGCCCGTGGCAACGGAGCTCCAAAAAGGGCAGCGGCACTCTCCTTCAGCACCCCCAGCGGAAGGGTCACGATGGCGTGTGGTGCGCTGAAGGTGTTGTTGTCAGCAGTGGTGAGGGTGACGCCACCAGCATCCTGGGCAATGCGGGTGACGACTGCCGCAAAAGAGAGCACTGACAGCAAGGGTGAGGTTGGAGCTGAGAAATCATCAGGCTTTGGTGTTGAGATGGGAGCGACAAAGCACAGCAGCCACCCAAACAGCGAGGTTGCATACGCCTTGTTCGTCATGGATCGCGTGATATCCCCCCCCTTGATAATGCGGTGACCTTGGGACCCCTCCCACCTGTGCCCATGCGAATGTCCAGGCCCTGTGCAAGCTCATCTGCAAAGGTGTGCATGCCTTCCTCGAGCATCACTGGGCGTGGCAATTTTCGATCAAGAATGACAACATGAGGGGTGGGACAAGGTCACGGCCTGCTGATATACAGCGTTCAAAACAGACGCAGCACACTGGCTGCTGCTGATTGTCCCAGGCGACCCATGTTAGGCGATGCAGGAACAGCAACCCAAGCTGACAACGGCACCGTGCAGGCAGGTCAAGGCGCACACCATCGTCTGCTGGGATCTTCTTGGCGTCACCAAAGCGCAGTGTGCTGAGGTCACTTATGTTGGCATTGAGCAGGGTCTGGCGGGGACGGGGCAGAAGGGGGCACAGCCTGCACATGCTCGATTTTGACCGACCGGCATGGGCTACATCCCAGCAGGAAGCACACAGCTGCTGCAGCGATGGGCCTTGTGGGAATGATGCGCACCTGCCATCGGGTGTGCATCAGCAGCCGCGCCTGACGCTCCTGCTGTGGCCGAAAGTGGGACCGCTCCACCCACTCAGCAAACGGCGTAGCCAGTGGCGAGTCAGGCACCGTTCCTGGCGGGGCTGCAGCAGCCGCGGCCTTGAGGCGGGTGATGTTGGTGTCCAGGCCGCGCCAACCCCTGAGGACCTGGGTGTACGACGGCAGATTGGTCCGCCTGCCGCCACTTCCAGGGACAAAAATAGCCCCAGAGTTGTAGTTTTGCTTCCTGGGCTCACAAGCAGGTGGGGATTGCGGTACACAGGATAATGGTGAAAAATTCATGTCCCCTCCACCCTAACCCAGCCTGCTTCACCAGTGATGATTTGGAGGCATGTGCTGCAGCAGCGTGGTCTCCTGGGCCGGCCTCCATGCTCCTCCCGAACACGGTGACCAAGCGGCAACTGCTTTGACCCACCTGCTGACGTTGAGGCCAAGGGCTTGAGCCAGGTCAAACAAGGAATTACCAGGGCGTGCTGAGTGGATCCACATCGCACCAAGATCCACTCGCTGCCCTGCACACACACAAGCAAGACAAGGGCGGAGGTACAGCTCGAACGGGACCGCACAGCGGCACAGCAGTTGACAGTCTGCCAGAGCGTGTCGGAACGGACTTGCGGCCCTCGCTTGCTGCAATTATTCTATGTTCCATTCCACTCAGGCTGCATATCAGTGCAGAGCAGAACTAAGTTATCAAGCCCTGCAAAGGCCTGGAAACGCCGAGGGGGCTTCGCGTTTGGCCTGGGACCCAAGAACCCCGGTGATGTGGCCGAGGTGATGGTCGGCCCCCGCTGCGCTTCACACGTACCTGCAGCCGTGTCCACGCTTTGTAGCCTACCGCCCGTGCGGTTGCGTGCCTCAAGTACCACAACTCTGAGCCCGGCACGGGTCAAGTTTCGTGCAGCTGCCAGCCCGCTGATGCCCGCCCCCACCACGATCACATCGAGGGGCGCGCCCGCCACAGCTGCCTGCGCTGAAGTTGCAGCCGCACCCGTGCTGGCGCCGCCCATGCTGAGAGCAAGCACGATCGACACTAGATTCCAGGTCATGCCATGCGTGGTTCCTGCTGAGAGGCGCATCTCAAGGGCCCAAGGCAGGGACGTCAGTGCTTGGCCACGAGGGGGCTGCGTGGAAAAGTTGCTGTGATGGGGATTGAGCGGCTGTGCTGCTCACTGCCTGGTAGGTTGTTCAAGCTGAATAAAATTTTGTTTCTAAGCGTAGGATGCACACAAATCACAGTCCGGCGCTTTCCAGACAACTGTGTTGGGCAGTTGACGCTTGCGCTTGTCCTGACGTGCGCCAGCTGCGGCAGTAACCGCCCGTCGCGCGTCGCCCTCCGGGTGCCGGATGAAAAGCGGTAGAGTCCCTTCCTTCCATACAGTTGAAGCTTGTGTTATCCACGTGTCTGCTTTTATGTGCACCGTGCATACATTGCCCGCCGCAGCGCCGTGATCAGTTGACCCCGTGCCTGAGGCGTGCAGGTCAGAGGGACCTTTTGATACCCTCTGTCCACGCTCACAGCTTCCATTGAAGTGTTCTCCGAAGATAGTAAGATGCTGTAAAGTCAGCGCTCCCTCCTTTCGGTGGCCAAGGCCCGCGTCAGGGCTCAAAGTGCACGCTGCACAGGCGGCATGGCTCACACGACGGCCAGGAGCCTGCTAGAGCTCGTTAAACATCACGGTGTTGTGCGAGAGGCGCACCTCGCGGAGCTGCTCGCCTCCGAAACGGGCGGCAGGCCCGAGGTGGACCGTGCCGAGGAATGCGCCGCTCGAAGGGGCCTCTCTAGGGTGCTGGCCTGCATCCAAGGATGCGATGAGGACGCACTGATCCGGATCATGGGCAGCGGCGGCAAGGGTGGAGGCCCTCCTGTGCCGCGCGTGATGGTGCTGGCCCTGCTGCACCTTGCCGCCCAGCTGCAGCACCAGAATGGCCACAGCACATTTGGCGCGCTCGCCGCGCACAGTCCCTTCATGGCAGCATTCGAGGCCGAGATGCATAGCGCCCGGCGCCTCGTGGCTGGCGCCCACAAAGAGCTGCTGGCGCGCCTCGCGGACCTCGGCCGGCAGCTGCCCCCCACAGTCAGCGCCGCGGTCACGTGCGCGCCGCCGAGCAGCACGGTAGCGGCGGAGGTCGCGGCCTGCGCCGCCCTGCGCGCCGCTGCTGACAGGGCGGCCTCTGACCTGGTGGCCCTGGACGACCTCACACGCAGCGCCGTGCAGTCCATGGCGCGCCTGGCAGCAGCATACGATAACGCACTGCTAGGGGCGGCAGCGGCCACGGCCCACATGTGCAGGGACAGCGGGGAGGACGGCGATGCAGCCTCGCCTTGTAGCTGGCAGCAGCAGAGACAGCAGCAGAGGCAGCCTTGGTGGCGGCGGTGGCAGCAGCCGAGGCAGAGGCAGGAGGGGAGCGGCATGCTGGACGGCGCACCTGTGACTGCAGTGGTGTCGCATTCTGCTCCTGGTCAGCAGGGCAAGTACGTTGCAGGTGGGAGGCAGGCCCGCCCTTGCGCAGCGGAAGGGAAGGGTGCCGCTTTGTCGTTGAGGATTAACCGCCCCTGAGTCAGTGCTCCGATGCACGATAACTGCCCAAAGCACTGCCTCTTGTGCTGTCCAGCTCAACCAAGATCCCACCGTTGGCTCTCATCTCATTCCACCCCTGTTGCACCACTCCCCACCCCCCCTCACACACACACACACACACACACACACACACACACACATGCCCTCCAGGCGTGGCCCCAGACGTCTACCACCAGGCCGCACACAGAATCATCACAGGGGGCGGTGCTGCTGCGTCAGAGCCAGCGCTCTGGGCGCTCTCCGCACTGCACGCCCGCATCCGCCACCGCGAAGCTGCGGCGCTGGAGGCCGCTGCTGCCGGGGTCGACGGGAGCGGCCAATCGGCGGAGCCTGCAAGCACGACGGGCGCAGCGGAGTGGAAGGCCCCGGACAAGGTTTGTTGCCGTTGCAGCGGGCTGTGTTGTTACTGTGTTTCTTCGTAAGTGAGTTGCTTGAGAGCTGTGATGCCTGCCCAATCACCACACCAACTGGTCCCGCCTTGCTATAGGCACATGCTGGGAACAACACGTACCGGGAACCCAACCTCGTCCCAACCAAAATTGCCGCTGCCCATCCGAAACGTCCTCTGCCGCAGTTCACGCGCTCCACCACCAAGTACTGGGTGCGCCCTGCCCACGTGCTGCGCGTCAAGGCGGCCCTCTGCCGCCACCTGCCACTCCTGGTCTACGGCGCCAAGTCACCGGTACACCAGGTGAGGAGGTGGGGAGGAGGTGGGGGACCCGACCCTTGGTTTGAGGTTGGTCTGCCACGTGTGTGAGGCGGGCTGCGAACAGTGGCGGCCACGTACGTTTGTGATCCACCGAGCCTTGGGGTGACAGTTACGAGTTTGCTACTGTGCTTCCAGCCCCTAGCATGGACAAAGCTTCACGCAGAGGGCATCACGCTGAGTCCCCCTGCCCCTCCCTGCGACGAACGCCCCCAGGGAGACATTGACAGCCCTGCGGCCATCCAGGCTGGCGCCGGCGCCGGCAGCACCCTGGTGTCCTCAGGTGAGCTTAGGGCACATTAAGCACACACCAAGCCCCCAGGTCACCAAAAAGCACCTTATGCAGGGCTATCCTTGCGTTCCCATCTGCATGTGAGACCCATCACAGACTGGACGATGACCCCTCCCAGCCCCCAAAAACAGCATTGCCCACCCCCCTCCCGCACTCTCTCCCCGTCCCAAACCAGTGTACTTTGACTCTGAGGGGCTGGCCTCGTACCACGCTCGCCTCGCCAAGGAGGACGGGGCACGCGCTGTGCGCATGAGGTGGTGAGCGCGCCAGACTCCTCATCTGTCAGCGAAGCGGCTGCTCACACGGTGCACTTGACAGCAGTGTCTCTGGCACCAATAGATCGGTCACAAGAGCGCGGTGCTGCACGCTGCAAACCTGTTGCCAAACCCCCAAACCAGGTACGGGCCGCGCCGCCCAAATGATGGCGGCCAGACCGTGTTTGTGGAGCGCAAGACTCACCGCGAGCCCTGGACGGGGGAGCGCAGCGTCAAGGTGGGCCGCTCAGCCCCACGTCTAAACTGTGCTGGCGCCACAATAGATGCGGGCTCGCAGCCCACGTGGCGCCACCGCGGTTCAGCTAGAGCTTCTGGTTTGCTGCCAGCAAGATGTATGCCTACAGCCGTACCACACTGCTCCAATCACAACACGCACAAGCGCACTCCATCCATCCCTTACACACCCTCGCCAAATCGCCCCTTCATTGAGCGTTGTTATACGCCTGCCTCGCCCCTCAGGAGCGTGCGTCGCTGCGCCAGGAGCAGGTGGCACCCTTCCTGTGTGGCGCCCTGTCTCCCTGTGACCTGGGCAAGGGGTCCAAGGCCCAGCTGCTGACAGAGGTGCAGCAGCACCTAGCACGGCTGGAGCAGGTGGGTGCCTGACGTCTGACATGGCAAGGGGCGAAGAGTTGCCATGCAGACTACCCAGGCCTGGTTCAGCAGCAGGGTGCTATGTCAGGACACGCTGTGCCATCACAGCAGTAACTCATGCCTGAGTCCTGGCGCCTGTCACTGTTGCCGCGACAGGGCCCGTCTGTGCGGACCGAGTATGTGCGCAGGTGGGCGCGGACCATAGGCCGATGTCGCGCACTGGGCATGTTATGGCTGACCGACAGTCAATCAAACACATCTCCCGTTGTCCGCATATTGTCTTGTACTGCGGCATTGAGGGATGTGCCTTAGCAAAACATCTTCTCTGATCAACCTGCACCCCCCACTCAGCCAACACCCCAAGTTGTTCCCGTGTCCGCCGTGCACACGTATGGTACGCGCAGTGCGTGGCAGGCGTACGACAGCGCTGCTGTGCGCGTGTCCCTGGACGACCACATGCTGCTGCTGAGGGAGAGGGGGGCTCACAAGGCACCCGGTGAGAACTCGGACGCGGGAGGGTGGCAGGGGGCTGTCTTTTTATATGAGTGGAATCCCCTTTTGTGTGGCGGTGGGCACGTGGAGCAGTTGAGCAGTTGGTCCGGGGCAGTTAAGGTCAGCCTACCTCGGGGCCATAGAATCATTCTGACATGCCTGAAAGCAAGCCATGCATGTCTCACTCCACCATGATGCCCCTCCCCTCCTTTTGCACCTGCCAGGGGACTGGTGCGCCGCGCTGGAGACTGCTGGTGCCCTGCCCGGCGGGGATGCGGTGCGCTTCCCCTACAGCGTCCTGGAGATCAAGCTCGCCTCAGACATCAAGCCAGCCTGGATCAACGTGAGTGGGGGCAGCAGAGGGCCGCCTGGGCTAGACAGAGAAGGTTCAACACATAAACTGGGGCAGGGCTGGATGCACAAAGGTGATGTATGTTTCGAGAGCTCATGCGGGCCCAAGTGTAGTGACCCTCAACCTCGGTGCACTCTCCAGGAGCTGCTGGCCAGTGGTCTGCTGGTGGAGGTGCCCCGCTTCTCAAAGTTCCTACACGGTGGGCCTTGAGTGTGTTTGGAGAGGCAAACACCGCTTGCAGCAAGGCTGCCTGGCGCCAACAACTCTAGTTGCACCAACTCTTGTGCTCGATGCAAACACTGCTTCCCTCGACATCCAAAACCTAAAGTTGCATCACATGTCCATCCCTCTGCGCATCGCCCTCCACCCTTCGCGATCCCGCAGGGTCTGCGCTGCTGTTCCCCGCGGCCTGCGCCACCACGCCCCCCTGGTTCCTGCCTGACGAGCTGGACTGCGGCCGCTTCACGCCCGCCACGGCCAATGAGATGGAGGTCCGGGGGGGCTGCCCGCGGTGCTGGGTCGGCTGCGATGGCGGGGAGGCCGAGGTGAGCTTAGACAATGCCCTCCGGCGTTTAGGGGTTAGGGTTCAAGCAACCAAGCGACACGTCACCATAGGGGGCCCGGCCTGCACACATACAGGCCGCAGTCCCCGAACCCATGCATGGGGCCCGCCGCTGTCCGCGCGCTCTGTGGCGCCAAGTGTGGTGCGCCTCTCACTGTGCGCCGAGTGTGGTGCACCCCTCTGTCGTTCCCCTCCCCCCCAGGCCATCCCACCCCCTCCATGGCTGGTGCTGCCGGGCTCCTCCGGGGCCCCCTTGGGCCCAAGCAGCGCCCTACTGTCCGCCTCCACCGGGAACGACGTGCGTCTGGGACCACTGTCCCTGCACAGCCGCCTCAAGATCTTTGTGCGCCGCGGGCGGCCTGCACCAGCTGCTGCCCCTGGCGCCAGCCTGTCCAGCTTCACTATCCAGGCCGCCTCCAACGGGTTCAGCGGCCGCACTGCCACCAGCTGCGGCAGCCTCGACCACCTGGTGCTGCCAATACTGGGGCCAGAGGACAAGGAGGAGGGCGCCAGCGCTGACGCAGCACAGCCTGCGGGCCCGTTGGAGGTGGCAGCCTTTTCTGGGGGCGCAGCGTCGCAGCAGCTGCAGCTGGCAGGTCAGGGGGGCCTGCAGGGTGCACAGCAGGCCATCCCAGGGGCTGTTGGGGCCGCGCCGCAGCAGCAGGAGGGGAGTGCCGCACCGGCCTCTGTGGCGATCAGCATTGAAGAGCTCATGGCAGAGATGCCACTGCTGTCCCCCAACAGCGGCAGCCGCGGCGGCAGAAGAGGCCTGGAGTCTGCTGGCACCAACGGGCTCATGTGTGGCGACACAGCGTCAGCCGGCGAGCACGGTGGGCGAGACCAGGCGCCGGCCGCTGTTACCACCGCAGCCGCCAAGCAGCAAGCGGTGGTGGCAGCGTCGGCCTCAAAGGGGGCGTGTGAAGCGGACGAGAGGCTCAGCACCAGCAGCGGCGGCACATCCGGGGACGTGCGCGGCGGCGGCCGCGGCGCCCGGCTGCTGCGCGGGGCGCGCGTCATGATCGCACGGAAGACGCGCCTCCTGGGCGGCCGGCGTGGCGGCGGCGGTGCTGCAGGGGCTGCAGGGGTTGGTGCGCTTTGCGCTCCCGTGTCTGGCAACCAGCGCGAGCCGAACAACAGCACCGCCGCACGCGGATCCAACGACCACCTGCAAGGCTTCACGGGTGCGGATAGCGGCGTGCATGGCTGCTGGGGGTAGCGTGCGTGATTTTACAATTCAACCTCACTAATGAGGGGCGGATGCAAGTGACGCCTGTACTGCCCCCTGGCTGGCACTCTCACAACAGATGTGGTATCCTTTCCATGTATTCTGCTGCTCTGGGCTCATGACACAGTCACGCACACACTCTCGCACACGCACACGCACACGCACACGCACACGCACACGCACACGCACACAAACACGCACATGCACACGCACACACTCGCACACCAGGCAAGACGCCGCGCTCTCAGCAGCTGGTGCGCGCACGCATCGAGCCCAAGACCTTCTTCGCCAACGAGCGCACCTTCCTGCAGGTGCGTATGTCTGACTGGGAGTCGCACTTTGGCGCGAGTCTGCCTTGTCCAGCGGCCTTTGCCGAGCTCCCACCTCCACCACCAAAACACTTGTACCGGGTGCCGTCCGCCTGCCCCCCATGCCAACAGTGGCTCAACATCAGCGTGCTGGTGGCCATGACGGGGCTGGGCCTGCTGACGGGGTCCTCAGTCATGGACGCGTCAACGGGCTCCTGCTGGGACAGCGCCCTCTGCAGGGCCAGCAGGGTGCGCGATGAAGGGGGGGGGGCGGGACATGGGAGCGGATGGAGGGAACAGAGAGGCCGGGAAGGGTGGGGTTACCGCCAGCACTGCTGACGCTTATTCCCAAGGTCTTGAGTGATACAGTACTGTCATGGGCAGGTTGCGGACAGCTGAGGGGTGAGCTAGCCGCCTGCAACTCAAGTGCAAACAATCCGCCATCCCAGTGTACCCACCCACCTCGCCCACCCCCCGCCCCCAGGTCTCTGGTGCGGCCATTGCCCCCACCAGTGTGGTGATGATGGGCTATGCGCTGTACATCTACAAGAAGAGGGCGGCACAGATACTCGCCAGGGAGGCGGTGAGGAGCGCGCGCATAGGGGGTGAAGTGGGGGGGGGGGGTTTTGAGGCTGCAGTCGCGAAGCCGGTTGCAGCGACTGCCTGGAGGGTTTGGGCTGTCAAACGATGCTCCTGTCTCAGCATTAGTGCCGGTCGTCGTCTTAGCCGCCGCACTGCTGCTGGGCGGCTTCAATACCCTGTCCGCACACACATCAGCCGGACCAGCTCGTCTGCGCACGCCTTTTTGTGCTCCCCCAACCGCAACCTCCACGACTGCCACCGCCGGACCCAGGTGCGCTACGACGACCGCTACGGCCCTGCGGCTCTGACAGTGCTGCTGCTGGTGGTGGTCACGCTGGCCATCGTGCTGTCGGCCTCCTCCCTTGGAGGGTGGGGGACGCCCGGCGGCGGCGGGGCAGGCGGCGGGGATCACGCAGTGACAGGGCACGGCAGCGCTGGCGGAGGCCTGGGTGCGCCGAAAAGCCTGGCGGGCTGAGAGGCCCGGTCTTGGGGGCGGCGTGCTGCGAGGAGCAGCGGCGTTCAGGGAAGGCGACTGGGCGGGCGGCAGAGAGATTGGAAGGGCCCGGCAGGGGTGCCCCACTGCTGCACTGCCCGGTGTGACGCATTCCGCAGCTGCGTGCACTCCGGGTTCGTGAGTTGCTGCACCACCCCTGTGGCCTGAGTGCGCATAGCCTGCCCACCACATGCGCAATTGTGAGCAACAGTGCTCCGCGCAAGGTGCAACATGGCTAGAAAACACGTTTGGGGGGGCCGCCGCCTGTGTTGGGTGGAGTTCACGTGCTGCCCACGCACGTGCTGTATGGTAGTGTTGCTGCATGCGTTTGCGAGGACTGGAGATTGGTAGAACGGACGGCTGTTAGCGGCTGGCGGCATGTGCTGCTCACATTGCAGCAAGTAGCTGGGCCTGGCTGGTGGTGAGGTCACTCAGGGGTGCCCTGTGGCACCCGCACGCGCTGGGCATTTGGTGTCCTGCGACGCACCACAAGAATGCATCAGCACTTTATTCCGGCTCATGCCGGCACTGGTGCAGCAGCATTGCGTGGCTCCTTGGCACTCCTGCTGCCTGCACCCAAACCTACGTCGTGTGGCTGGGGTTTTACTGCAGTTGATAAGCGGTGGCGTGGCTGGGTAGCTGCTGGTCTTTGTCGCGGGTGGCTGCCCCACCACCGGTCTGCGGGTGGGCGGGAGTGCTGCCCGCCCCCCTTTGGGCCCTGTGGCTCAACCCCCCCCCTCATGATGCGCCAGCTCTCTGTGCCAATGCAGGCAGGGTACGATTAGACAATGGGAGGATTTCCTGGACTTGGTCCGCTGCCAGCTGTCAGGTGACGGCCCTAATTTGCTGGGCAGCCCATGCTTTTGGCTGCTGGCTGGGAAACATTCGACCCCAGAAAATAAACGATTTGAGTTGTAGTAACAACCACATGTGGCTTTCGCTTCTCCACTGGTGTGCAGCCTGTTGACAGAAGCTTAGCCGCAAGCGAAGCAGAAGGAAGCTGCTGCTGTTGCTGTGGAGTGCATTTACAGAAAACTACTACACCCCACGTGACGACGTCATTCGGCAAACCTGACGTGAAGAACAGAGTGACGATTATGAAAGAATGCAAGGGTTACACACAGCAAGGACAGGAACCTGCATGAATAGTAATCAATGCTGGGAAGCCCCGCCTGCTGCTGGAGCCGTCAGGCAGCGGCATCAATCCCCCGCACCGCCGTCATCCGCGCCGTCCTCCCCCGCCTCGCCCTCCTCTGCAGCCTCGTCACCCGCCGCCGCGCCGCCGCCCCCTTCCTCGTCGCCGTTGCCAGCAGCTGCCTCCTCGTCTTCCGCGCCCTGCTCCGCCGCAGCGCCCCCACTGCCGCCCCTGCCGCAACGCTCGCCGCCATTTGCCTTGCCGGTCGCGTCGTCCGCATCATCGGCCGCCGCTGCCGCCGCGCCGCCGCCCCCCACACCTGCGCCGCCAGTGGTGGTGGGTGTCACGGCCTTGCTGCCGCCGCCGCCGGCAGCCTTGGCGCCCGTGGCTGCGGCCTTGTCGGCCTCCCGTGCCGCCAGCTCAGCATCAATCCAGCCCTGCGGGATCTGTATCATGGTGTTGGTGTTGGTGGGTGTGTGGCTGCTGGGAGGCGGCCGGGGCTCAAGATGCCACAGGATCTCGACCGACATCCTCTGCAGAGAGCAGCGCTTTGTATATTTTTGGAAGCCCACACGTGCGCGCGCACGCACACACGCACGCACATGCACAAGCCTTCACAAGGTCACATACACACACGGTGTGTGTGTATGTGTGTACGTGTGTGCGCGTGTGCGCGCGTGCCTGTGAGATTGCACACACACACAGCTCGATCTCCCCTCACTGCCGCCCTGACCCCCCATTCCATACCCCCACCTTGTCTGGTATGACGCGCGACAGCATCATCTCAATCTCGTCCGGCGCCGCGCTTGTGAGGCGGTCCTTGAAGCTGTTGGGCATCCAGGGGGGCAGGGGCGACACGGACGCACTCCTGGGGGGGGGGAGAGGGGCAGTTGGGGGAGTGTGTAAAGGATTTGTGTCGGAGGTTAGGGTGGCGAGGGCCTTGGTTGAGGGCGTCAAATCGAGGGGTGCAACAGCCCCAGCAACGAATTTCAAACCCCGGCAGACGTTCGTCCCTGCGCCAGCACAGCGCCGTATGAGAGCGACCCCAGCTGGAGGCCAGCAGCCCGCCACCCCACCCCCTCCATGACGCACC